AAATGCTTTTTGCAAGACAAAACCAAATAATTCTAGCTGTAACCTACATCAGGTGGATAATTTCCACATCTGTTCAACTTTCTGTCTTTGTTAACAATGCTCCAAGGAAAAATTTAAGTTTAAAGCTTGGGACACGTTATTTTCTTCTGATAAGTGACAGTCTGAAATTACAGAAGCAGAAATAACGGGAAATGCAATGAAGAAAGGATCAGGTAAATCACAGTAATCACAGTGATCACAGTGACAGGCAGCAGAGAGCTCAATAAAATATTACACTGTTTACTCAGGGTACAGACTACCAAAACTGCTTGCGATGCTGCAGTGATGGTAATGAGTAACAAAATAATTAGCAGCTCAGTTGTGCCAGGGCAGCCACTTCCTTTAGTTGTAATAACGGGGCTGCATTTGGACAAGGGGTGGCAGAGCTGTAGGAATGGCCATCAGACACACATGCTTAGAGGGAACCAAGCCCTTGGAAGTGTTCTCAGCCAGGTTTGGGCTGTGGATGCTGCTGCATGGGGTCAGAGGTTGAACTGCACGGCCCTTGTGGGTCCCTTCCAGGTTGGGATAACTCTGCAATCCAGTCACAAAACGGCTTTCCAGGCAGCTTTTATTCTCATCATCCACTTCAGATGTCCTTATGCAAAGCCATGGATCTGCCCACTATTTGCTGTAATGCTGCTAAACCCCAGAGGACACCCACCGAGGAGAGCTGCCACAGCCACCTTTGATACATTCTCGTTCTGAATTTGCCTTCTTTCCAAAACCCCCTTTTTAAAGCTTTCTTTCAGAAGGGTTCATCACTCTTTTGGCAACTGGAGTGCCGCACAGCTCTGCCAGCTGGCTGCATCTGTTATCTCGTGTTTGTAGGGTGGGAGCTCACCGGGCCGAAGCTTTGGGCAGCACTAAGAGAGGCTTCATTCTTTCCTCATCCTTGCCCCATTCCCCCCTTACTTTCCCTCCTTCCTGTGGCACTGCGTCACGCTGCAAGGACCTGCTGAAAGTCACCTCGGGCTCTTCCACAGGACTCTCACAGGTCACAAAAAAGCTCATTCAGCTTAATTCAAATGTATCAGAACTAATATACTTTGGACCAGAGAGCAAATGATTACTTTGTGTTGATTACTCTTTGCTTGCAGATTTCAGAAGATGGAAATTTCAGGCTCATAATGGAAATTCAGCTGCAGCCGTGACCATAAAGCAGCTCCAGCATGTGGAATTACGAGTTGCAGACCGGCAGAGCCCCGTTCTATTTCAGATGAAATATTCCAGACTTACATCCCAGTAAATGAGATCACCTGCTAGTGCAAACACTTGCCATGATTTAAGGCTTTTAAAGAGGGCAGAAAGCCATACACAGACATCTTATAGAGAACGAGGCCCTGCAGCTATCGGTGTGGAAGCAATCCAATGAATGGATGAGGAGGACAAGCCCTAAAGGGAGCATCCTGCACTTCTTGGTGCCATCAGCCCTGCAAGGGGACATGGGACCTCGGCTCCATGTGGGGCCAGCTCTCCCATCCCACTCTCCCAGCCCCTCTGCTCTGTGTGCTGGGCAGGGACGAGCCATGAACAGAGGTTGGCAGTCGTGAGTTAATCTTATAGCAAGAGCTGACATCCTGCTCGAGTGCTGGCAATTTCAAAGAGTAACGTGTTGTCAGTTTTAGCTGGAGAGTGGTTGCTATGTGAGTTTAGAAGTCTTTTGCATATTTATTTTGTCCCACTTTAAATAAATTTGGGTAAGATTTATCTCGTTAACTCCAAACGCAGGTCCCTCTTGGCCCGACTGAAGAAACAAATTAGACTTTGCAAACATTGCAAAGACTAAATCAATACATTAATATTTAGGGGACATTAAAGAGGTTTATTAAGCAGAAAAAAGGCCTTGAGTATTACTTTGGAAATATTACACACTCATAAATTTAAAATATAGGTTGTGGTTTCCAACCAAATCTGTAAATGGCACTCAGGGAGACAGCTGAGACATCTGCACGCCCGGTGTGCGCAGGGGGCATGGTGGGCAATACCCACAGATGGCATAAGGTGCCAGGAGCAGCGCCTGGCTGAGGCTCACCTTGCATCTCCCACCCACCTGAGCCCTCCTGGTGGCTGCACTGTGACCCACGCATTGCCTCCCCCAAAGGTCAGCTCTGTGCACGGGCAGAGTAGCTAAACAATTAATACGTAAGGGTGAGAAGTATTTCATTTTTTGACTTCAATTCAGCAAACAGCTGAGAGTGACATCATCCCTGCATGCGGCGGGGGGCTGGAGATTCGTGATCCTTGAGGTGGCTTCCAACCCTGGCCATTCTGTGACTCTGTGATCCGCAGCTCACGGCTCTGCAGATCAAGCACCTGACTCTGATGTAGATTATGCTGATTGCAAACTCCTACCTTCTGAACTTTTAATTTAATTACTTTGTAATTCTCACTTCTATTTAACAAGATCACTGGAGTAAAGGAAACTGGATTATCTTCCTCCCTTTCATCTGGGTTTCCTTTCTCTGATGTAAATGGGGGCTAAAGACACGTTAGGATTTTTCTTTTATTATCAGTTACCTCAGTTTGTTTTCTTGATACAAAATTCTTTGCCCAAGCACTCAGTAACAGTGACCACAGCTTGACTTAGTGTTTCCTTAGGGCCCTGAGCAGGGGCTGGAGAGGTGGAATTCCCCATCAGGCTCTGCTCTCACCCGTCCCACTGGGCAGGCATGGGACAGCAGCTGCTTCCCTGCAGCCCACAGCCATTGAGCACATCCCAGGACACAGTACTGTGTGCACGAGATCTGCGGTTTAATCTGTGAGTGCACAGCATTTGGGGGAACACAGCCAAAGCTGTGCCTGGGGATGCTCCTGTCATGAACCAGAAAACAGATCAGATCAGAAGGCAAGTAATGGAGGCATGATGAATCTGTTGAACTCTGGGGCCAACAACAAAACAGGAGCCGTGCCCACACTTAGACAGGTTCTGGCCATTTTGCAGCTTGGACCTCTTTGCCTTTCTATGTTTTACTAAAGGAAATCAGGGCGCTTTGGATTGCCCACTAAAATGCATGGGTTCTCTGAAATACTTGGATGCACAGGATTGGAAATTGTCAGCCCAAGGAGCAGAGCAAAAGATATTCAAAATGAAACCTACTGCATCTGTGCATGTAAAGATCTAACGGAACAAAAAGAGAGAGAGACTGAGTTGGATGGACACAGCTTTTGAAGTGGGGGTTTCACAGCAAACAATTTTATAGTCTGCAGTTTAACCTATTTGAGAGCTTATGATCAGACCTAAGTATCGTCCATTCAATTTACGACCCCTGGCTCCTCCACTTCTGTTGTTTTCAGCAGGAAAAGGTCTTCTTTCAGTGTTATTCGATGGAATGCAGTCTGTAGGGCAGGGGAGTGATAAAGGGCTGTGCTGCTGCCTTTACATTTTCCTTCGCTCGTTCTATTTCATCTGCTGCTCCCGAGCTGCTGCCGATCACTCATTCACAGCACAGATGGGAACCCAGCCCTTTGATGGAATGATTCCACTTTGGCTAAAGATCTGCTTTGCCCTTCATTTATTTTTCCCCAATAGCAGAAGTCACTTCTAATCTTTCAATACAAACTCATGATTGGTATTAAAAGGAAACACAAAACCACCTCCACGAAATGTTATGATGTCATCCCTGTGAACCCTATGCTGCAAGAAAGCACATGCAAGCTGCAGTGCCAATTAGCTGATGTTCCCTTTACAGCCTGTTACTTTCAGGCAGCTCTGTCTCCCTTCTCTCAGGATGCATAAATCCTCCACCTGTGCCCTCCTAGCCCGGCACATGGCAGTGAGGCATGGGCATAGAGCAGCACGAGGGGAAGAGCTCGGAGCTGGGCAGCCCCGTGCTCAGCCTGTGATGACCCACAGAGGGATCCTTCCCATGTGGGGCAGGCGATGGCAGCCCACCTGCCAGGTGTGCACAGCAAGACCCTCCCTGCACAGCTGATAACTGTTCATACTGTTTGGTACCTCAAAATAGGAGCTAAGATAGAAAAAAGTAGCCCAAATGACCACAGAAAACAGAAATAATCTTGGAGAAATGCAGTATATATACAACCAAAACAATAACTGATGCTGTTGCTGCTTCTTCCCTTCAGCCTCCCAGCCCAGCTGTGTGCCAATGCCCCCCAGCCCCCAGGAGCAGCGCACACATAGCTCTGCACACTCAGAAGTCTCTGGGGAGCTCTGTGGGGACCACACAGCGATGGCTTTCTGGTGGCACTGAGATTTTTCATGCACCAAATGCCCTCAGAGCCAACAAAGTCCAGCCGACACACACAGCACCCCGCTCCGGAGGTCCGGCAGTTAAGAACAATTAGTTAGAGAAGCATTAGGTACCCATCATTTGTGTGTGTGCCATATGGATTAATAGAGATTGCCATTTCAATTCCTCTGTTTTATATTCATTGCTTTATCACTCATAAAAATGCAAAAGAAAATGTTAATGATGATTACACCAAAGACTAATAAATTAAAGCCTTAGGTTATACTTTGCATTTCTGAAGATATAAATGCAATCGCTTAATAATTATGCATATTTTAACTATTGAGTTATTATTTCTCTATATTCCTGCAGTTAGCCTAATTAATTTTAAGCTCCTGTTTATATGTTTTATAAATGCAATTAATTTCCAACTATTTTCTTAGCCCCTCGTGCGAGGGCATTAACTATCATGCAGACAATCACAACGAAGGATTGCTCTCCCCAGAACAACACAATCAATATTACCTCCACGCGTAAAGCTGGCAGCCCAGCTCGAAACAGAAAACCATCTCGTGAAAATAAATGGACTTTTCTAATTAACGACAGGCAGTACTTCCATGAGGAAGCTGTGGTGTGGATGAGATAAAAGCTACGGATTGGTACAGCAAGATCAGCCTCCCTTTGTCTTCAGTTTGGTGTTCGTTACTGAACTGTGCTGCTTTTACAGCACGCCCCCAACGCCAACTTGCAATTAGCTTAAACACGTACCTTGCACAGTTAGGTGCACCTGCATCGTTCTGGGAGTGTGCTGGGTTTGCACAGAACAGGTGTAGGGGCCGTCATCTGTCACGTCCACGTCCTGGATCTGCAGGCTGTACTCTCTCCTGTTTGCTGTCGCAATGGAAACTCGAGGGTCCACTGACCATTTGTCACTGCCAGCAAAAATAATGCTCGAGCGGTTCAGCCACGCGCCTTTGGAAGCTCCATCTTCCAAGTAACACCTGGGGGGAAAAGGGAAACCGTAGGTGTGAAAACTCAGACTTCCTGAATACCATTAACCTGCTATCGATTTTTAGATTGCAAACAGCTGCGCCGTCTTGGAGTTGAACCTCAAAACATACGGGGCATTCGTTGATTCACAAACCGATGTAAAACCACGAGCACGTGAAAACAGAGCACAGTTCCATGAAATCTATTTAGAACATTAGTGGCGTGGTACTGGCACAAGTAGGTGTGATTTGTTTACAGTGCCTTACCTGGGGTTTTGTGCAATAGTCACTCATAAGAATAGTTACCACCAAGGCTGCTTTTCAGGGCAAAGTCCCTCTGATCAGGGGCAGCGATACCAGTGCCCTACAATCACATGCACCCCAGACAGATTCTTCTCTTTCTAAATTATAGTTGATGAATATTCCTCCATAAGGACTTTTTTTCCCAGCGAGTAAAAAGTGCAGCCAGAGACAAAAAATACACCTGCCTGAGGAGTGAGGCAGCACTCCTGCCCAATACACCGGGGTCTGAACACAGCACTGGCGCAGGCACTGCCAGCTGCCCAAAAGCAATCAGCTGGAAAACATAGAGAACGAGGTGTGCTGGGAAACCTCATCTGCAGTCTGCTCTACCATCTCCAGAATCAAAAACCAGTTGGAGTATTAAAGGTCAGTATTAATTGAAAATCTTTTCTATAGATACGCGACCAGGAAAATCCACCAACCCAACAAGCTGGGTGTAACGGCAGCATAACCTTCCACCAAGGCAATTAGGCACTGCTGTTATCAGTATTTTGTGCTCCGCATCAGAAAATGTTTGTAATTTTCTCCAAAATAGATCATACCTCCTATCATCTCACATCGCTCACCTGCACACCTGGGTGAGCAGAAATGCTCTTTCAGAGATGCCCCTGAATGTCACTGACCAGTCCCAAGGGCAGCGCCGCAATCCGGCAGCTTCTTTGGCTCTGTGCAGGAAGGAGCCACTGAAGAACTGTGGCAGCAGGTGCCAGCACTTGACTTGAGCACAACCACTGAGCCCAAGGATGCAGGAAGGAAAGCTCACACCTGGGCGTAGGGCTGAGGTGCGCTGCTGCGAGCTGTGGCAGTGCAGTGATATGGAGCCCAACAGTTTTGGGCTCTTCTGTTTGAAATTAGGGATCTCAGGGACAGGTGGGAGAGCAGGGGACAAAAAGGGCACTGATGGCTATTCCTCAGCCCCATGCACGTTGTGGCTGTTGCTTATCCACTGCTTGGACAGAGTCACTATCATAGAATCACAGAATTACTGAGGTTGGAGAAGCCCTCTCAAAACCCTGACCTCACCCCAGCCCTCCCCCCATGCCCACTGCCCACATCCCTCCATGCCACATCCCCGTGGTTCTGGAACACCCCAGGGACGGTGATCCCCACCCCTCTGGAAAGCCTGTGTTGGTGCTGAGTGCTGTTAGGGACAAGAAATTTCCCCTAATATCCAGCCTGAGATCCTGGCATACAACCCGTGTTCCGTGTGGCAGCAACAAGGGATCAGTGAGAATCTTCTGAACTAGAGATGCATTCCTGACCTTCAGCCAGAAGGATGACTTCTGTGAGCAGCGACTGAAATCCTGAAGGAGCAGCAGGTGAGAAACCAAACACAACAATGCGAAGAAAACTGGGGAACACCAGCACAGCATGGCTGTATGATGTTCAAAGATGCTTCACATAGGAAGGAAAACACACACAAGAACAGTTCCTGGCCACGGAAATGTTGGTCTTAAGAAGAGGACAGGAGGGAGGAGATGAGACCTGAGCAGAAGAGAACAGCGACAGCTCAGGTAGGGAACACAAGGCTGGGAGGAGCGGCTCAAATCCTAGATGTGATCTGCTCCCCATTTTCCATACAGGTGACATCAAACATACAGAAAAGGCAGAGCAGAAAAGGGAGATGGCAGCAGAGAGAGCTGGAATGGTCTGAGAGTGAAAAGCCACAAATCCAGCAGCGTGGGGGGTTTGGTGGAGGAGAAAAAGAGAAAGCGGTACTTTGTGGCTGGAAAATAATAACTGTATTATCTGTACTTAAGGAAATGAGGAAAGCGAATCAGGCAAATTTTAGGCTAACCACTGGGAGCACAATAGAACTTAAGGCTTTAAAATGACTTTAAAAGTTTAAGGAACATAATTCAAAGTGCAGTAGACTAATGGGACATTTTTATTTGATAAAGAGATTTTTCACATGAAGGAAATCCAACAGAAGGAGATAATGCGGTAAATCTCTTTGATAAAGCATTTAAATAGTGCAACTATGGAAACTGTTAGGTAGGGGAAAATGGTGATTTAGTAGCTTACGCATATGGCAGCATTGTTTAATGGGAAAAGTGACATTCGCATTAGAAATAAGAAACCAGAAGCGTTGGACTGAAATTCTTCACAAATGATCGCAAAAATAACTATTCAGTCATTTAATTAAGGGTCTCATCGTGGAATCTGAATAGACAGGCAGCTCAGATGGAAGCCGTGTGTGATGTGTAAGACATGAATGGGGGTGGCAGAGGGAAGCGTCCCTCTGAGGGCGGAGGGCTCCATGGAAGGCTGTGAATCCCAGCAGGGATCTGAGGGATCTGGATTTGCTCAGAGTGCCAGGAGCTGCTCTGTGCCAAATGGATCACAGTGAGCAGCAGGCCAGGGGAAGCTGGGGAGCTCGGGTGCTCCCTGGAACCTCTGCAGTGTGTTTCTGCAGCAGCTGGGAGCATCACTTCTACATCAGTGCTCCTGGAGGGACGGCTCCACGTTGCTGCCTCACTGGTGCACAAACACACAGCCACAAATGCGCTGAATGTGTGATCCCCCCCCACAGAGGGCAGCCCCCCAGCTGTGGGAGCAACGTGCCCTGCCTTGAAGGGCTGCAGGCATTGATGGTTGCGGTGCTGATGAAGATGGCAGTGGGATTCCAACCTGGTCCAACAGCCTTCTAAAACAACTGAGGAGCATCGTCCGTTAACGCCTGTGCTCCTGCAGGGAACAGGTGTCACAGATAGACACAAACACCTGCTAAAGCTCTGTGTAGTACTAATTAACAAAAAGAACACCGCACACAATTGCTGCGTGAAACATGAAAGCCAAGGAACAGACAGAGCTGATTTTCAGCTGTTGAGGAACATTTTCACATTTGAAGAAAAATTCCCTTCTCTACATCTACAAATCTGTACAAATACAAATCTACATCTATCAAATTCTCTACAAATGCATTGAGCAGGTCAGGTGTGTAAGCATACTGGGTCCAGAGATGGGATTCAAATGGGGTAATTTGGGAACAGGTTCTTCCTCCTACAATCCTTCAGTGCCCAAAGCAACCCCTTCTCTCTGTCAGAACCCACTCGAATTCCCTCGCTGTGCAAGAAGTGATTTGAACACGTTGCAGAATGTGGCTGAAACCATTTGCACAGGATAGCCTTTACATGACATAGCCTGGTACACGCACCGTGTGTGAAGAATGAAGCGTGTACTGACTCCATGGAAGAAGCAATCCAGTGATACACCTCAGAAATGGTTTCTAATGCAACCAACTGCGCCTCTTTCTGTGCACCGCTCACTTCTTTCTCAAATGCACGCACAACTCTGGAGCAGCTGGTAGGCAGCAGGGCTGCACATCCCCACACACAGAGCAGGCACTGCTGCAGAGCTGCTGCCCTGCATGCACAGCCTACAGCCAGAGCCGCCAAGATGAGCGTTACGAAATGACAACTTGGGTTTGCACTGTGGAATATTTGCCCTTGGGAGCCTTTCAGAGAAGTGCAAGTGCTCACAATCACAGAGTGGCCCAGGTTGGAAGGGACCCCAAGGATCATGAAGCTCCAACCCCCCCGCCACATGCAGGGCCACCAACCTCCACATTTCACAGCAGCCCAGGCTGCCCAGGGCCCCATCCAACCTGGCCTTGAACACCTCCAGGGATGGACGGGGCATCACAGCCTCTCTGGGCAGCTGTTCCAGCACCTCACCACTCTCATAGCAAAGAACTTCCCCCTGACATCCAACCAAAATCTTCCCTCCTTCAAATTAAAACCTTGTCCAGCTGTTATCTTCCCTTTCAAAGAGTTCAAAGAGTGCTCAGCGAACCTGAGAATGCCGTGATGAGTGTGAGCAGAGCTTGCTCTCACATGCAGCTGCCCCACAGCTGTGCCCCACTGCCCAGCACCCTCCTGCCCCTTCCTCTGTGCTCAGCACTCCACAGTGCCACTCATCAATCTATGCACAGCACCGACTATTCCTGCAAGTTAATATGAGCGGCATAGCACAACTAAGGAAAATGCCACAATCCTTAAGCAAAGGAGCTCTTTGCTCTTTTTGCCTTTGCGTTGCTTGGAGAAGGATTGATTAATTTATAGCTGCACTCAGAAGATATTTCTCCTATTTTTATACATAGAAGATTGGATAAAACCTACTCATTTTCTAACTGATGATTGTAATCAGGAGTTCTCTACTCAGGAAGCACAAGAACTAGATTTTAATGCTAGCTGTCACATGGATGAAAGTATTTTACTACTTTAGTATTTTTCTAATCATTATTAATGGGGCCGATCTTCTGTAATTTGTAAGTATGGAGAAGCACACTCTCGCCCCGATTGCACAGGGTTTTTCATCCTATGTTGTGACGCCTCCCCCTTCCCCAGCTCTCAAGCCACATTTCCCAGTAATTAACACCCAGAGCCATTCATCTCCATGCACACAGCTCTTCCTGATGCTCCACTGGGACTGCACACAAACCCCCATCTCGGTGTGCTGGACACCAGCTTGTCTCCAGCAGTCTCAAATACAAGCTTTGAGGGCTGCATCTGGATAGCACTTGTCAGTACTTAAAAATTACAAAACAATCTTCATTAAATTAAGACCGAAAGCTACCATTATCCTCAGCTCTTGTGCAATTACTGACTTGACCTGAATTGCAAAGCTGCGGGGATAAGTGCATTAAATACCGGCTCATACATCTGGAGCTGAATTCAACCCGTGCAGCCCTTTCAGATGTCAGCACA